TTTGTACAGAGAAGAAAGGAGAGAGATAGAGAGTTAGAAACATCGATGAGAGAGAGTCATCGATCAGCTGCCTCTTGCACACCCCCTACTGGGGATGTGCCCGCAACCAAGGTACATGCCCTTGACCGGAATCGAACCCAGGACCCTTCAGTCCCCAAGCCGATGCTCTATCCATTAAGCCAAACCGGTTTCGGCAGGTTGCTAATTCTTAAGACTTCAAAATCCTAAATCTGGCCCCTGACCAGGGGCTCAGTTGATTGGATTGCCTTCCAGAACACCAAAAGTTGAAGGTTCGATCCCCATTCCAGGCTTGTGCAGGAGGCAATGAACAAACCAATGGATTTTTCTCACCTCTCTCTCTCTCTCTCTCTCTCTCTCTCTCTCTCTCTCTCTCTCTCTCTCTCTCTCTCTCTCTCTCTCTCTCTCTCTCTCTCTCTCTCTCTCTCTCTTTCTCTCCCGTCCCTCCTTCCCATCCTCTCTTTCTAAAATCAATAAACACATCCTCAGGTGAAGGTTTTTAAAAAATCCTGAATCTGGGTGACATGAAGGAAGAAAGATATCATCTCTGGGAATTCAGTGTTTGCAAACACTGGCCAGCTTTTCTTTTGCAGGGAGAGACTTAGATACCGCCTGATGATTTATTGAGTGCTTAGAGCAACCATACTCAATCAAAACAGAGTATAAAAAATAGCTTCCTGCACCCTTTTCCTTTCTTCCAAGTCACTGCCCACGATCTTCTTGTGAACTTACAGAAAGCAGGCCGTTTTGCAGAAAACTAATTAAGTAAATGACCACTTCACCGAAGTATTGAGGACTTTTAAAAACCCATTAGAATCTGCTCAACTATTTGGACCCCACTTCTGTCCCATAGCACACTGGGAGCTGGGGTAAGGTGTGTTTGACCATCAGTTATTGATAAGCAGTGGACATCCCATCAACTGATTTTCAGTGAATTGGCTTCTAGCAAATTGGTCATTTGGCAAAGTGGTCATTAGGCAAATGGGTCATTTGGCGAATAGGTCATTTAGTAAATCGTCTTTCAATGACTTGCCCTGTGAGATTTCTCTACAGTGAGCACTTTTCTTGGGTTAAATGTACATTTCATTTCCATAATTAATATTCACTAGCGCCTGGATGGGAAACTTCCCACGGACTCTGGAGCATCTGGAACAGCCTCTTAGTAATCGGACAATTAAAAACCATCTGATCTTTTTTTTTTTTCTTAACAGGAGCAGAGATGCAGAGGTCATCTGCTCTCCAAAATACAGCAATAGGTCTGGGGACTACCACAGGAGTTCTTGCAGTTCTGTTTGTCACTGGCGTGACATACACAGCCATTCGTCGGAAAAAGAAGTGAGTGGCCTTTGGGTTTCCTGCACATTGTAATCATCCATTTCAATCATGTCCTGCCACAAGGGGTCCAGCACACTGAGACCCCAGCAACCAGAGCCAGCTTGGGCCCAGGACTCAGAAGAGCCCCCAGCTTGGTTTAATAAGCTACTACCACGGTCTCAAAATTCTTAACAAGGACCCTGCATTTTCATAGTGCACTAGGCCCCCAAATTGTACACTAGTTGTACTAGTTTTCTAGGGCTGCCATAACCAAGTACCACAAACTGAGAGGCTTAAAACAACAGAAGAGTATTGTTTCATAGATCTGGAGGCTAAAAATACAAAATCAAGGGTTGGGCAGGGCCATGGTCCCTCTGAAACCTGTAGGGGAGGGTCCTTCTGGGCCTCTTCTAGGTGGTTGCCAATAGTCCTTGATGTTCTTCCTCCAATCTCTGCTTCCATTGTCACACAGCCCCTTCTCCCTGTGTCACTGACTTCTAAGAAAACCAGTCGTGGGATTTAGGGATCGATGTAATCCAGTATGACCCTATCTTAATTTAATTATGTCTGCACCCTATTTTCAAATAAGGTTACATTCCTAGGACTTTTACCATATCTTTTGAGGTGAGGGGAAACAATTCAACCCATAACATTGGTTCTACCACCCATCAAAGCATTATATGAGCTGGTGCACTGCTTTCTACAGCTCAGTAGTTTGTCATTAGACTGAGCCTTCTGTATTATTGCACCCAACCCTGACCATTTTTCTACTTGGACACAGCATGGGGACCTCCCAAATACTATAAACTACCGAAAGGCAGAACTTTACTTAACCTTAACTCCATTTCAAAGCCCACAGTTAACGTAATTTCTATTTAAACTATAAAATTTTCCTGTGAGCTGAAACATGACCTACAAAGGTCTCTACACCCTGCAGCAACATTTTAGAAAGAAATCAATTGGTCCTTTTTTGCAGAAACCATTAGCCATAAGAGAGATACAGGAAAAACTGCAATGTACTGATTGAATTGCCATGCCCACAGCATAATTTCTAAAAGGCAACCATTCCATACAGTTAAAATGCATTAGGTTTTTATTATTATTACTATTAATGAAAGCCTGAAATCCAAAAGCTGAATCACTAATTTGGCATGTGCTCATGCACATCCCTTTTGCCTCTGGAAGGACCACTGGGATGTCCTAATGCTTCTCTCCATATCAATACCACCTGGAATTTTTATTTGTGCTAAACAGTAGTCCTAAACTTCACTTACACCTGAACATACCACATCTTTGAGGGCCATAAAACCTTAAACATCCCTTCAGTGCCTTGATCCTTCCAGATTCAGACCTGAAATGTTATCACTTTTGTCCCTCCTGAGAGCCCTCACACAAAGATGAAGGTTTCTTCTGGGTGTAGATCAGTGCTGCAGCCTACTGAGGGTCTTCCCAATCTGCTTCCCATCTATGGCATTAGGTAAGGTGGGACCAGCCTAGGTTTATTAATATCTTAGTATAACATCAGACAGTGTCACTCTGGCATTAACTGTACATGTCCTTTCACTCCTCAGAGGAAAGATAATAGCTATTATGTGTGTTCCTAGAATAAGTCCTGTATTTATGAGTTTAACTGACCTATTGCCATTGATTTTCTACTGCAGGCAGAGCGCTGATCAAAACAGCAAAAGTGAACCAGTGCACCTGAATGAAATCCCAAGAGTCGCCCTTTAGGACCAAGACTCAAATCATAGTTAAGACTCATTGTTGCCCTACCCATTTGGCTCAGTGGATAGAGCATTAGCCTGTGGACTAAAGGGACCCAGGTTTGATTCCAGTCAAGGACATGTACCTTGGTTGCAGGCATATCCCCAATAGGAGGTGTGCAGGAGGCAGCTGATCAATGTTTCTCTCTCACTGATGTTTCTAACTCTTTCTCTCCCTTAGTCTTTGTGTAAAAAAATAAATTAAAAATAAATTTAAAAATCAATAAAATATATTTTTAAAAAGACTCATTGTTGTATCACTGATGACTCTATCTCCGAACATTGTGGCTAGGAGGATTTTTGCAACATCCCGGTACCTGAAACCATGAATTCCATGTGAAAACACAGCAATCGCCATAGCGCACCTTCTTTCTTTAAGTCAACAAGTGTTGAGGAATGAAAGATAAGCCATTTTTGTGTCAGATCCTGTGCTCTCTTGGTTGTGGGAAAAGCACAACAGATATGAGAGAATAAATGCATTCAATAAGAATTAATTCTCCTCTCTAGTTCTCATAGCTGAATGGGGCTCCAGTGTCGCTCATCCAAAGGGGGTACTGAGATTTCATCTGTCCTCTTATCTGCCTTCCGCAAATTAGCTCTCAAGCTGCTTCTAAGTAGAGTTTTGTGAGAGATTTGTGAAGTTAACTGTGTAGACTTTGAACACAGTTCAAGCTCCAGGGGCAGCACTGGTAAGTTGGGAACTATCTGCCCTGCCTTTCACTCAAGACATGATTATGTCACACCGAAATAATTCTTAATTTTCTTCCATATCCCTACCTCTGTACCACTCCACAACACCCCAGAATCCCCTTACTCTTCTTTCAGACTCCTTTTTCCTGCATAGTCTCACTCCCACTCTGCTCTGAGTTCGCCTGCCTGGCATCTAATGCCATCATGCTTCTGCATTTAGGTGTGGTGATTACTTCAATGTCCCCTTCCCCACAAGAGCCCCTGAGGCCCCGGGGAGCAGGGACCACGCCTGATTTTTCTCACTGCTGCATCCCTGGTGCCAAGCATGTAAGTGCTAATAAGCATTTGGTAAACAAAAGTCCCCACTGGGTTAGGGACAGACCCAAAGGCTGGGGGAGCGAGAGCTCCTGCCTTCTGTGGGAGGAGGTCATGAAGAGGACGTGCCAGCGGGCCAGGGCAGGTGGAGGCGCCTCACCACTTTACTGCCCGCGGTCCCCAAAGAGGAGCGGGTTCTAGGACACAGCCTTGAGAGAGAGAGAACTGTGGTGAAGGACCACCTGGACTTGAGTACGACTGAAGGCCTCCACGGAAACTTTTAAGATTCTGGCGAGTAGCGCAGAGACCTACTCCCCTGGAGACTTCCCAGACAAGACTCTTAAATAAGTTCCCTCATTAAACCTGCCACCTACCCACCTGCCTGCCTCTCTTCCGTTTCTCTTCGCCCTCCGTGTGCCAGCCAGTTTGGAAACCAACACTTTGACTTAAATGCTCTTTTCAAAGGAAGGAAAGGGCGGCCATGGCCGGAGCCCATGGACCCGGGGCCCGAGTTAGGTACCCCCTCCAAGGGCATAAGGGCGGTCAGGGTCCCTTTTGCTCATTCACACAAAGTGGCGCCGACGGGGACAGGACTAGGTTAGGGAGGCGGGGGCTGCCCCCGACACACACACACACAAAAAAAACCTCGGGAAAGTTCGGGAACTACGGGAATGTTTACCGGCATCCCAGCCTCAGGGGACTCTCCCAGGGAGCGCACGCGGTTTTTGCCAAGCCTTGGTGTGACGCCAAACCCTGGCCCCGCCCCGCTGGCGCCTGGCCCCGCCCCTTCCGACCCTGGCTCCACCTCCCAGATCTCAATCCCCGCCCCCTCCGGCCCGCTCTGGCCGCCTCAAGCCCCGCCCTCGGCCTCCCCGCGAGTCGCCTAGGATTGGTCCCGCCTCCTCCAGGCACCTCCCCGCTTCCGCCCCGCCTCCCGAGCAACGCGGCGGCCCCGCCCCGTCATGGCGCCGGAGGAGAGCGTGGAAGCCTCACCCCTGCTGCAGAGTTTCGAGCGCCGCTTCCTGGCGGCGCGCGCGCTGCGCTCATTCCCCTGGCAGGTGGGCGGCGGGGCGTGCTGAGTGCCAGCGGGGGTGGCAAAGGACTGGTGAGGGGGCGCTATGGGCTCCCACTCCCGCCCTCCCCGCCACTGGACGGCCTGGGCTTTCTCGGGTGTCGGGGCCTTACCTCTGGTGCTGGACCCGGGGCTGTGCTGGACCTGGGGCTGGGCCGCGCGCCCCTGGGAAGCCCACCCTTCACCCGGCCACGACCTCCTTCTCCTCTGGGCCCTTCCCCCCCTCCGCTCCCTTTGCTGACTTGGATCCCACGAATTTAAGTTTCTTCCCAACTACCTTTTTCACTCAGATTTTTAGGGTCATAGACAGTTCCCAGTAATTTTCATGACTTTTTTTTTTTGAGCCAGTTCTCCCGGTCATGAGAAACAGCTGCTGCTGCCCATTTTAATAATTGTCTACGGCCTTGGTACATACAGCTAGAGATCAGGTTGCAATGAGCGCAGTGACCAGATCACAGACAACCCCCGCACCCAGTTACAGATACAGGCCCCTAGGTGTTTTCATCTTTGTCATCAGTTTTGGACAAAATCGTCTCAGAGGCAACTTTGAGGCTCTTTAAGTCTTGGAAGGAAGTGGCAGGGAGAAACAAAGTGGCCAGAAAACAGATGATAAGAGGTCTCAGCTCCCCTGCCCTGGGACCTGCCACTGCACAGGCCGATGGCGTTCGACAGCTTCCTTCTGCCAAGGAGATTTCTAATGACATTGCCTCCTTGATAATTCATGTGCAGTGAGCTCACTGGGATGACTCAGTTTGGATATGTATTCTTCCCGGGTCTTCCCCTTCTTAGTCATTTGTATTTTATTGACATCAACCATTTAGCATTCTGAGAGCTCATTTCCAGACACAAAGAAATATGTACATTTTTAACCCAAAATTTAAACCTTTCTAACAGCATCTGTGAGACCCATTCCATATCAGCTAAAATTGTTCACCTAAAAGTGCATACTCTGTACCAGGACCATGCTATTGATAAATGCATACCTAGGCTGGCCCACAATACCCATGTGGTGGGTGCTATTACTATTATTGTGTTTTACCACACAGGCTGACTAGAAGAGAGGTAGAGTGCAGCAATGGAGAGCTCAGACCTGAGAAACAGCCTCCTGCTTGGAATCCTGGCCCAATCCCATACAAGCTGTGTGACCTTGGGCAAGTGACTGCACACTTCTGGGCTGTAGTTTTCTTATTAGTAACACAGGATGCTTCCCTCAAAGGGCTGTTATCAGGGGTGCATGACAATGAAGTGTCTGAGACAGTGCTCATGGTAAATGGATGTAAGTGTTAGCTAGTATTTTTATTCCATCCAAATGTTTACTGGATGCCTCCCATGAGCCAGGCACCAGGATCAGCAGCACACAGATGAGGCTTGTTCAGATGGGAGAGCCAGAGAATAACCACGTAAATGAATAAGAAAGTGCCACGGGATAACAGTGGCTATAAAGTCAATAAAACAAGGAAATGTTTCATCAAAGTAGGGGAATCTGGGAAGGCCTCCAAGAGGGGAAGTTTGAGCCATGACCTGAACTGTGGGCGGTCTTGGGGAGATGGGAGTGCAGAGGCTCTGCCAATGAGAGCAAGCTGCTGTGAGGAGGCCAGTGTGGCTGGAGTGGCATGAGCAGAGGTGAGATGGATGATGGCAAGTGAGATGAGAGAGAGGCCAGGGCCAGGTCTTACAGCATGTGATAAGTTGTTCTGGAGAAACAAAGGGATCTGCCCAGGGTCACACACCCGCCAGGCAGTCTGCCTGATTCTGGAGCCTGAGCTCACTACCAGGAGTGCCCTGCAGGAGAGGACAGTGTATACGCTGGGCCTGGCAGCTGCACATTAACTCAGATGTCAAGTCCAAGGCAAGCCCATTGGGCGCTGATGTCCTGGCTAACTGTAATTCCTGGCTGACGAGGGCAACCGCCAAGCCAGTCTGTGACCCAGGCGAGGCTTAGCAGCCAGGGCTAATGCAAACCAAGAGTCTGTCTCCTAATAGTCTTTCTCCGACTCATCCAGGTAGAACCTGGGACTTGTCAAGGTCAGGCTTTCAGCCGCCTGTGGCTTCTACTTCCAGTTCACCAAGGTCCCTGGGGAGAGATCACTTAGCACTTTGCCAACATGTCCTATTGCATGTTTAATGTTCCTGTGAAAATGTCTTGCTTTCTCTCTCTGCCCCCCACTCTGTCTCCAAATAGAGCCTAGAAGAGAAATTAAGGGACTCCAGTTGTGAGCTGCTGCTGGATATTTTGCAGAAGGTAAGAATCACAGAGTCACTGGGACGCAGTCACCAGCCTCTTGACGTGCCCAGGAGGACATGACACCAGTACAGTGCCTGTGCTGTCTCCTTTCAAAAGAAAGACACTGCATTTGGGTGGGAACACCTCAGAGAGCTCTGGCTCTTTTGCTTTCTTAGGTGAAGATATCAGAATATGCAAAAACTACTTTGAGGGAGGAAGTCTGGCAGATGTTTTTTAAGCTGTCCACAGAGAAAACAAGTGACAGCTGTGGGAACATCGAGCATTTGCTAGCTGTTCAGAGAATTTCTTCTTTACATTTAAGGGAAAAATAAAGATGCAAGTCTTGCCCATGTGTGTCTCTCTTCTAGATGTGGGTGGACCCCTGCTTTTTGGAGTTGAGTTTTGGATTCTAAGATGCGTGTGGGTGAGGATATATGTGGAACCACCACTGTGCCTGACCTGCCCTGGCCAAGTGGATCAAGTGCAGATTACACTGCCTCCTGGCCCTCAACCCTCTGAAGCACATGTGTCAAACACAAGGCCCGCGGGTCAAATCCGTCCCGCCAGGCCTTGCAATGTGGCCCGCACCGCGCTGTCATCACTGCACTCCGCAGCGTTTCCATCACAATGACAGTTTATGACTGTTCAGTAAACCATTCGGCCCGCGATTTAGGCTGGATTTTAGATTTTGGCCCCTTCTCTGATTGAGTTCAACACCCCTACTCTGAAGGGTCATGAACTCTTCTCAAAACCCAAAGCTATGGCTCTCCCCCCAGAAAAAAAAATGCATCAGAATACATTTGGAATACAAATTCAGGGGAGTCACAGATCCTCCTCCCACCACTAAGACCTTCAAGGAACCCAGATTAAGAATTCCTGCATGGCCCTGGCAAATGGGGCTCAGTTGGTTGTAGAATAGTCTCCTATATCAAAAGGTTGCAGCTTCGATTCCTGGTCAGGGGACATACAGAAGGCAACCAATGATCAATATTTTCAATGTTTCTCTCTCTCTTTTCCTCTCTCTTTTCCTCTCTCTCTCTCTCTCTCTCTCTCTCTCCCCCTCTCTCTCTCTCTCTCTCTCTCTCTCTCTCTCTCTCTTTCTCTCTCTCTCTTTCTCTCTTTCTCATCCTCAACTCCTGTGTGGAGGATGAACTAGGAGTAGCCTTCTGACCACCAAGCAGGGAAGGTGGAGCTGTACTAGGAAGGACTTCAGGACAATCTAGTATTTAGGACTGTGAGCTCAGAGATGTCCAAGTTCATTGTTCCTTGTCTTGTAGGCTACTCTGATTCTCACCCCACATAGCACCAGCCAACTAGAAAGCCCCTGAGCAGTGTGTGGGTATTTTATTGCCTTTGGGTAAAATAATGTCCCTCCAGCCAACAGGCCCCTGGAACTGGCCCCTACTCTCATTGCTCCTGTCACCCTGCCCTTCTTCCAAAAATGCCAAGCTGTGGCCACCTTGGAGATCTCTGCCTAGAACTCCTTCCCCTGCTTTTTGATTCTCTAAGTTTCCACTGAACTGTCACCCCTGAGAGTCCCCTTCCCCCTCCTCCATGTCCCAGGCGGAGTCCCCATCTTCCTCTGCCCTGGCCATCAGAACACTCATCACAGTCTGGCTCCTGCTCATCTCCTTGGCTGGGCTATGAGTTCCAGGAGGACAGGTGCCAAATCTGCCTTGGTCCACCATTTGGGCTCTTGCCTCTTCCATGGAGCCAGGCAATTCACACTTGTCCTTACTACAAACTCTCTTTCATGCTGGCTGTCCTGGGAAGGGGTGTGTCTTAGACCAGTCCAGCTGCTATAACACAATACCATAGACTGCATGCCTTGTAAACAACAGTAATTTATTTCGCACAGTTTTGGAGGCTGCAAAGTCCAAGATCAAGGTGCCAATTTTAGTGTCTGGTGAGGGTCTGCTATCTCGTTCATAGAGGGCCATTTCTCATTGTATCCTCATATGGTGGAAGGCACAGGGGACCGCTATGGGGGGGGGCCTCTCATATAAGTGCAATAATCCCATTCTTGGGGTTCCACTTTCATGACCTAATCACCTCCCAATGGCCCCACCTCATAAAACCATTGCATTGGATGTTAGATTTCACATATGAATTTGAGGAGATGCAGACATTCAGTCGATAGCAGGGTATTCTCTTGGGTCCACATGCCTCCCATTCCTGCTGAGAATGGAAGCACTGCCACAATCTGTGCTGCTGCAGTAAAGAATTGTTGGGAAAGACCTTATTCTGAAAGACTTACCCTTTCATATGCATGAGAATCACCTAGAGCCAGAACCTTTGTGTCTATATGTGTTTGCTGAGGGATTGGGTAACTGGGGTTTGCTGTGTAAACACTTAGAGCCCATGGGAGACTTAAGGCCGGGTTTCTTCCCCAACTCACATGTGTCCTTTGTCACAGACCGTAAAACATCCTCTGTGCGTGAAGCATCCGCCGTCTGTGAAGTATGTCCGGTGCTTTCTCTCGGAGCTCATCAGAAAGGTCAGTGGTGGGCACTGTGTGCCCAGTAGCCAGACAGTGCCTGGCTCTTGGCTAGCTCTCCAGAAGTGGTCCCTCTGCCAAGCTTTGCCTATTGGAGCTCAGATCCGTCCCATACCCTTTGCCTCCTCTGCAAACCCTTTCTCCCTTTTCCTGAGGGATCGTCAGAAGCAGCTGCATCTCCTCTGTGGTCCCTGTGCGAGTTGTCATTTCTACCAGGCAGCCCTGAGCATTGTATCCCCATCTTCTCCTTCTGTTCTGCCACCTGAGGGGTTTTGACAGTTTCCTGATGTTGCCAGCCTCTGGATTGCTGCACTGTCCTTGTTGGAGGTTTTAGATCTTGCAATGCCTTTATAATTAGTTCCCTTTACTACCTTCCCCGCAATGAACTACCTTGAATAGCTCTTTTCCTGACTGATACAAGATGGATTTTAAGGTTGAACCCAAATTTGCTGAGTTTCATGTTAGACCGGAGTTCAGGAAGACAAACCCTCAGTGATTAGTAGCAGGCCTGACCTGTTTGGCCTCTGAATACAAGGGCTGTGCCTCACCCACGCTTAGCACATGGGGTGATCCCTTCTTCTCCATTGCCACCATCCCTCATTCTCACCAGCATGGCACATCTAGCAGTCGCCAGTAGGTTTCTTCCCTTCCACTAGGGGGAGCAAGGTCACCGGATGCCGCCCCACTCCACCCCCCACCCTCAACCCCCACCCCCAATGGGATGCAGGACAGGCTGCCCAGCTGATGAAGCCACACTCTGAAGTGTGGAGTGCCCGCCCTGTGGCTTTTGCCTGGGCCCACCTAAATGCACCATTTGTTTTCTCCATCCAGGACATCGTGGTCGAAGGGCAGAGCTCTCTGTCCGTCAGCTCTCATGCCATTCCGTTTCTGCTGCCATAGATTCTCACCTTATTCTCACCCTCACCCTCTCTGTACCTATTTGAGATACCCAGGTCCCCCCACTGAGTGAAGTATTTATATGCCAGGTAGCCCATGTTATGTCAATCCATCCCAATCTGCCCCTCCATATTTGGTGAAAATCCTCTAGCTGTTTTTAGAACTCAGTGTAAAAGCAAATAGACAGGACCTTTGTTTGATTCATGAGGGTCCATATTTAATGCTCTTGCTGAAACTCTCCCTCCATCACCCCCAGCACGAAGCTGCTCATGAAGAGCCTTTGGACGAGCTGTACGAGGCGTTGGCAGAGATCCTGACAGCCGAGGAGCCCCCTCAGTGCCACAGGAGCTATCTGCTGGTAGGAGCCATGCGCCTTCCTCCCCACACAGGCCAGACACCCGCCTCTGCACAAAGATTTACAACTCAGGCTCCAGCAGCCTCCCATGGGTTCAGATCCTGACTCATCAGCTCTGTGGTCTTAGGTGGAGCCAGTTATCCGCCCCTGAGCTTATTTCTTCATCTGTAAATCAAGCACTTTGACAAATAATAGTACCTATCTTATGGGGTGGCTGGAGTTAAGGTATGCATAGTATTTACATAGCAGGGATATGGCACTCAACCCCCAATAAATGCTTGATGAGTGGATGTTATAGGACAGCAGTCACTTCCCACTCTCCCCACCACTATCCTCACCAGCCTGGACCACTGTCGCAGCCTTCTGACTGGTCTCCCAGCTTCTTGCTCCACAAAAATCCATTCTGTACACAACAGTCAGAGAGATTTTGGATGTTTTTGTCTGTTTTTAACCTTTTACCATAAAATAAAGCATAGATACAGAAAACCACACAAAATAAATATACAGCTTATTGAATCATTGCAAGGCAGCTACCCTGTTAACTGCCACTCCAGTCAAAAGACAGAATTTTGGCAGCCAGCCCACAAGGCCCCATCTGACCTCTCTCTCTTCTAGCCCTCAACCCCTGCAAAAGTAACCACCATCTCCCTTTCAGACTAACCACTCTGAGGTTTTATCGCTGCCCTTTCCACCTATGGACACTAGCATTTTTGTCTTGCCGATTAACTAGCTGTGGCTTGAAGTCTCCCTTCATGCACAGGTCCCATCTCCATTCCGGCTCTCTCTTCCCCCAGCGGTGCCTCTGAACAGCCTTTGTGGTTTGGCTTCGATAGCCTTCCACAGGCTGACTTCTGGTGGCGCACACGTGGTGCTATTCAACTTGGTTCCTCCATCCTCTGTTTCCTAAAAATTGGTGTCTGGATTCAGAGGCCCACTCAGGTTCACATCTGTTTCGTTGCTTTGACTAGAACACAGTATGGGTTTCTAGGAGGAACATCATATCTGTTTTTTCTCCTCCGAATTACAGTAGTTATGAATGCCCGATGCTCAGGCTAACTCATTCTCTGGAGGATGCACAAGGGCAATTTCCTGATTCTATCATTTTGTTTTCATTCATTAACTGGAGAAATTTTATAAGGAGGTGCCTCCCTTCACCCACTATTTAGTTACTCATAAGTCCAGCTTGTAGAGAAAAGGCAGGATATAAGCTTCATCTTTCCTTTTCAAGACAGTGAATTTGTCTTCTATCATCCCCAGAAGGGGTTCAAGCTGAGCAAATCATGTCCTATTGAAGCTCAAAATGTGCTGTTTTGTGGCACTTCAAATAGGCTTCTGAGCCCTTTTGACATTACCCTAATCGTTTTCTTGCTTAATTTAAAAAAATATATAATTTTATTGACTTTAGAAGGAGAGAGGGAGAGAGAGAGAAACATCGATGTGAGAGAGACATCAATTGGTTGCTTCCTGGATGCACCCTGACTGGGGATCACACCCACAACCTGGGTATGTATCCTGACTGAGAATCAAACTGGCAACCTTTGGAGCATGATGCGACACTCCAGCCAACTGAGCCGCACAGGCCAGGGCTCTTGCTGTATTTTTTGTCAAGCTTTTCCAGACTCATCTTGCATATTTCCTATCCCAGATCAGGAATCAGCCATGTCTTCAACAAGCTCTGGTTTCTTTTAGTGGGAAATGATATTTAGAGACCACAATCTGGGCATTAGGGTGCTCATTGCTACCAATGTAGGCCTTTCCAGTGAACAGAACTGGAATATGAGTGGTGATATGTATATCCATACTTTTTAACATAAATACCTCATAAATCTGTATTGACATTTCCAATTCAAAATCAGAACTGCGGGGTTTCTTTTTGTGCGTAATTAAATTTTTGGGATGACATTTTTCACAAAACTACAGGTTTTAAGTGTAAAATTTAACAAAGCATTGCTTTGGCGGGGTAGCTCAATTGGTTAGAGCGTCCGCAAGGATGTCGGTCTAATTAGCACATTATACTTTTTATTATTATAGATTCACAGAAAGCTGCAAAAATCATACAGGGAGGTCCACATGCCTTTCCCCAGTGTCCCCCAGCGGAAACACCTGACACAGCATCATAGCCAGGACACTGACATGGCACAGTGTATGTGTAATTCTGGGTCGTCCACCACATGTGGAGACCTGCACAGGCACCACCACGGTCAAGACGCGGAACTGTTCTGTCACAGCAAAGACCTCCCTCAGGCCACCCCTTCATAGTCACTCCCATGCCTTGTTCCCATTCCTACCCCAGGGAGCCCCACCACTGATCTTGAGAAGTTTAGCTAAATGGAATCACACAGCATGTGACCTTCTGAAATTGGCCTTTTTCATTCAGCATAATACCCTTGCAATTCATCCAGGTTGGTGCTTGAGTCAGCAATTCTTTTTTTATTGCTGTGTGATATTCCATGGCATGGGCATACCAGTTTATTTAGCCATCCACCTGCTGTGATTTTTTTCTCTTTAACACTAGCTTCTTGTCTTCTGGTGGCTGGATTATCTCTCTACCTGTCTCTATCCAGCCTTCCGGGGACTCGGTCACACTCTCTGAGAGCCTAGCCATCATTTCCCATGGCACCACCGGACTGGTCACATGGAATGCCGCACTCTACCTTGCAGAATGGGCCATAGAGAACCCAGCAGCTTTCACTCACAGGTGACCTTGGGGCACAGGGTAGGGTACCAAGGGGAGTTTTCCCCAGCACAATTTCGAACACGTGTCCCCTTCTCCCACTCAGGACTGTCTTAGAGCTTGGCAGTGGAGCCGGCCTCACAGGCCTGGCCATTTGCAAGATGTGCCATCCTAGAGCGTATGTCTTCAGCGACTGTCACAGCCTTGTCCTGGAGCAGCTCCGAGGGAACATCCTTCTCAACGGCCTCCTGTTAGAGTCAGATGCCACTGCCCCTGCGCAGCACCCAGGACACAACACCCACAACGCAGAGAGCCCCAGTGTGACGGTGGCACAGCTGGACTGGGACATCGTGACGGCCCCTCAGCTCGCTGCCTTCCAGCCAGACGTCATCATCGCAGCAGGTGCCCTTCAGCCCCATGTGGCTTCCATTTGTGGCTCCACCCACTCTCGGTTCAGGGAAGAGGACCATGGGCTCTGGAAGGGTCACTGTGAGCCTCCAGAGCGACATCAAAGCACAGGGTGTGCCTCTTGGTTGCTCTAAAGCACCTGTTTGATCAAGTGGCTACTTTTGCACTCCCATTGTAGTGGTCCCATCAGACAAATGAACCTGGCTCTTGCCCGCAAGGCCTGGGATGAGCAGAGCAGGTCCCAGAGCACCACGGTGGTCTGACCTATTAGCCCCACCTTTGTGTCCCCCTCCAGAGCCTCAGGGAGGCCACTCAGTTGCCATCTGGAACATAAATCAAATAGTGAGAACAGCTGCATCTTCAGGCAGATGGGATGGGAAATGGCTATGGCAGCCTTGTCCTGTCAGGGCCATAGGAACAGCACAATATTCCCAGGACTGTCAGTCCTCTGTGTGTCGAGGGCACCCATGGGCTCAGGGTGGAGTCCAAGTCAGGGCTCTAAGTGCCCCACCTCTGTCAGCATTGGCTTCCCTGTGCTCTGTATCATCGTCACATGTCTGTGTGGCCCTGAGGGAGCTCCTGCTTCTGTCTAACATGTACACCGTGTCTTTCGTAGACAAGTCCCCACGGAGGGGACTACCCAAGTCTAGTGCAAGGACAGGTTCCTTGAAAGAAGGAACATTTGGTTTGGCCACCGACAGACCCCTTATCCTCCGCCAAGCTCACCTCAGCCTCTGGCTCACAGAGCTCTCTATACCTCTGGTCCTGGGCCACAGCCCTGAGACCCAGAGGCACACAGTGGCCGAGCACAGAGCCCAAGCAGCACACCCCAAGGTGGCACCATCCCTGTAAGCCTGGCTATCAGGCAGGAGTGAGCTGGTTCTCACTGCCGAGAGCAAAGAGGCAAGAAGTCTGAAGCAGACTCAGGTTTGTTTTATTAAAGAATTTTTATTTTTTTTAAAGGAACATCAGTGAGTCCTTGATATTTTTCAGTTGCCTTATCTTTCAGCAGCTTTCATTCTCCTAAGGATTTTGTTTTCTTTTTTTTTTTTTTACATATATAACTTTCTTTCCATCTAATAGAACTGCTGCTTTCCTGGCCCTTGGCCTGTTGCCAGGGTTGGCACAACCCAGCGCTCTCCATTCTGGGGACCTGAATCCTAGAGGGAGTCCCTGTCCGTGACCTGAGGTTTTTCATTGCAGATGTGCTGTACTGCCCAGAAACTGTCCTCTCACTCGTCAGGGTCCTGCAGACACTCTCTGCTTGCCAGAAGGACCAGCAGGCTCCTGACGTCTACATTGCCTTCACCATCCGCAACCCGGAGACATGCAGGCTGTTCACCACTGAGTTAGGTGAGCCCATGACAGGCTGAGAGGCCGTCCAACCTGCAGGGGCCACTGTGCTGGCCCCACACAGAACTCCAGTGAGGCAGAAACCAGGGAAGTGAGAGAATGGGGTCCTAGCGACAAACCAGGAGCTGGGCTGGGGCAACAGCTCCCGCCCTGAGGTCAGCAGTGGGGAGAGCAGGCTCCAAGGGACAGAGCGCACACCATGACCCTGGAGGCTGGGACCAGCAGCCCTGCCATGTGTGTCTAGGGCAGGTTTCATTGGCTGTAAAGTGGATAGGATGGCAGATGCCAGTGGTGTCAGGGTAGACCAAGCTCAGGCCACATTGCCGTCAGGCACAGGCTCTGGAGTTGGTTCCAACACCCTCCCTGGTGGAGCTGGGCTGGCACTGCCTCCGGGGCATCTTCAGCGGAAACATCCACCTGAGGTGGAGCAGGATCTGACTTACAGGAACGCCCAGGAAAACAGGAGCTGCTATTCCTGGATTAAACTCGCAGTATATGGAAGAACAAGGGGGAACTTTCAGAAGGGAAAGGAGTCTGCCTTTTATTGCCCTGAATTGGCATTGCTGCGGACCAGGCACTGTCCCCAGACCTGAAATGTGCCAGCCCCTCTAGCAGCTGGAGGGGTGTCATCCTCTGTTGCCCATGGAAACATGGGTGTAGGGAAGATAAGTAATGGCCTGAGTTCCAAGGACTGGAGCCAGACAGCCAGCTCCTGCTCTCCACCCCTAATCTTGCACCCCACACCTACTGCCCTGCAATTCCCACCACCTGCCAGGCCCAACCAGGCCTTCTAACTTTAAACCTGACAACAGTGCAGGACCCATTTGCCCCAACATCTGCCCCCAACACCCGCCCCCAGCAAAGCCCCACCTTCCAAACACAAAGACCACCTAAACACGCACCCACATGTGCCCATGTCCCATTGGCCGAGTACTGTGAGCCTCGGAAAGAATGAAGTCCTTCTGGAGATGGGACGAAGTATCTACAGTATATATTTTAATATTTTTTTAAATTTACAGTTGACATTATATTAGTTTTAGGTGTACAACCCCGTGATTAGACGTTTATATAACTTAAAGAGTGATGACTCCAATAAATCTAGTACCCATCTGATACCATAGTTATTACAGTATAATTGACTATATCCTCTTTGCTCTATTTTACATCCCCATTACTACCAATGTGTAGTTCTCAATCCCTTCACCTTTTTCACCTATCCCCCAACCCCCTCCCATCTGGTAACCATCAAAATCAACAATATATTTTAAGTGAAGAAAGCAAAGTGCCAAACAGCATAAATAGTATAAGCTAATTTTTATTTTAAAAAATAATCACCTTTATATTACTATTCACATGGGGGGAAATCTGGAAGAATAGACACTAGTTGTTATACTTGGACAGCAGGATTATAGGTGCTTCTACACTTGTATGTCTCATTTCCTTCTTAAATATTAATTTTTCATTCACAATAAAACTGACAAAATGAACCTCACCAATGGCTTTTCAGACACCTGTGCTCCTGAAGAGAACGGCTGCCCCTCCTTTGTGAGGAGGCACCTGATGACCAGTCAGGCAGAGCGGGTTCAGATTCTGGCTGCACCTGGTGATGAGGTGTAGGACAGGTGCAGAGCTACAGGGAGCCCAGACAGGCCATGACCTTCTGAGGATGGGCATGGCCGATGGACAGAGACAGCAAACCTGGCTGTCATGAAGTGTTTCAAAACACGATTCCTGGTCCTGCCCCCAGAGGCTAACTCTAGATGTCTGGATGAGGCTTGAAAATGTCTATACACTCCCTCACCCCTCCACCACCCCCAGGCCTGTCCTGCAGCCTTGCACTAACAGGTGACATCCTGTCCGCAAACCCCACCATCCTGAGATACATGTGCTCTGTTTCCAGGCAAGGCTGGGATCTCATGGGAAGCGGTGCCTCGTCACAACCAGAAGCTATTTCCCTATGAAGAGCACTCGGAGATGGAAATTCTGAAACTCATGCTGTAGGTTTACAAATGTTTGGGAAAATTAAATCACTTGGGAAAGAATATGTGGAAAAGCTGATAAAACTTTCATTGGACTTAAATGTTTGAAGAGTGTTAAATTCTCAATCAGGAACCACCAACTGTTCTAATGAAATATAACTGTTCGCCGAAACCGGTTTGGCTCAGTGGATAGAGCGTCGGTCTGCAGACTGAAGGGTCCCAGGTGTTCAAGGGCATGTACATTGGTTGTGGGCACATCCCCGGTGGGGGGTGTGCAGGAGGCTGCTGGTTGATGTTTCTCTCTCATCAATGTTTCTAGCACTCTATCCCTCTCCCTTCCTCTCTGTGAAAAATCAATAAAATATATTTTTTTTAATAAAAATAAAAATAAATATGTAACTGTTTAAGTATGGGGGTGCCCCTTTCTGTCAGCAGTTCTGGTTATAAGCCCATCACCATAAATCAGAAATGAAGATTTTGGCTGAGATAAGCATTTGTGCAGGTAAAAACACATATATCGATATGTTTTCCTCCATTCTGGACACACATCCCACAGTGCACATGGCACATCTGTGCTCACAGTGTGGGGGCCGCAGTACCCATGTCAAAGCAGGAATCAAAATATTAGGGACATAACAGCAGATGCTGAGAGAGGCAGACACCAGGAGACAAAAACAGGGACAAAGAGATGTGGAATAGACCACAGGCTACTAACAGAAAAGTAATAAACGAGAGGAAAGAAAAAAAGAGAAGTGACTCGAGGCTGAAGTAGTTTCCTGGGCCACAGATTCCCAGTCATTAGAATAAGTTCATTCCAAGCCAAAGGCTGGCCCTTCCTCAGCTTGTCTGGGAAGCCTGTTTCTGGCTGTTGAGATGTGCCGACCACCACATCCCCTGCTACACGGATAGCCTCACACATAGAGCCATGGAAGCTCCCTCCCAAAGTTTGAGGTCCGAGAGGGACACCTTCTTTCCCGACTTTAGGAAGAGATGTGGGACTCATACTCCAGGGCTCTGTAAAGATTCTCTTATTACAAATCCTCTCTCCTTAACTGTCCCAATCATCCAAACCCTTTTACCCTTCATAAAGCATGAAGAGCAATGAAACGGTCTCTGACAATATACATTGGGAACTGGCACTTCACTTGGTAGACAACCTTCTCCATCCTATTGAAAATTTCATTGGTGGCCCTTTGCTTTGGGATTTCTCCTCCATTTCTGATGTGTTAATGTTGTTGACTGACAGCCCAAGGCACATAACACACTGAGCACAGGCCCACCGCCTGGCTGTCTAGAGGTATTTAAATCATTCTCAAAGAAAACAGGAAGCGAGGAGACTTCCAGCAGATTCTGTGTGAAGTGGACGTCCCAAAACTGGAGCAGCCAGCGTGAGAAAAACACACACCCCGTCATAGAGGTGCAACTGAGTATCCCCAGGGATGGGAAGGCATTGATACCAGTGCCAATTAAGTGAAAACTTTCTTGTTGCCCTCACCTCTCTGTCCTAAATTTAGGCTGTTTGGCAACTTAGAAATGACCATACAATTTTTTATTGACCAAAATGGTCATGAAACTGCCAAAATTCGCCTTCTGAATAAAGTTTAAAGCAGCGTTTTTCAACCGCTGTTCCACGGCACACTAGTGTGCTGCGAGATGTTGCCTGGTGTGCCGTAGGTGCAGACAAGACAAGAATTTTATAATTTTTCACTATTTTGTTTACTTAATATTTCATAATAAAGTAATTATAAAATACTTTCTTTGTGTTTATTTGATTCCTATTCAAGAGAATTACTTTATATATTATAGTCAATATAGGCACAGAGTTAAATTTTTTAACATTTTCTAATGGTGGTGTGCCTCGTGATTTTTTTCATGAAACAAGTGTGCCTTTGCCCAAAAAAGGTTGAAAAACACTGGTTTAAAGGAAAGGGGGAGGGGGAGAGATAATTTCATTCTATGCGTGGCACCTGCTGTCCTTTCAACTGCCATCCACTGGGAGGCGCTGCTCTACACAGTTTGTGCAGGGAAGGGACAGCAGCTGGAAGAGGCCGGAGGAGGGACATGGAGCACGGTGCTGGTGGGAAGGCTATGAGAACAGGAAGGGGTTTGCATGAACCTCAGGGTCTTCCTCTTTGTGACATCCAACACCAACACATGCTCAGGGGGGTTCAGTCTTTGGCCCAAGGGGTCATGTGTCCACAAGCAAAGGGAGAACTGTCTGTTTCCAGCTTTCATCCCAACGAAGCTGCTTGGACTCCCGAAGATTCTTCCGGAACTGGTTCAGTTTGCCAGCAGGATCAGGAAACTTTGAGAAAAGCATCTAGAAGAAAAATGACAAAAAAAAAACTTCCCTCATCACTGCTTTCCTCCACCCCCACCCCGTTCCCAGCAGCCTGGACCTCTGTCTCACCCCAAACACAGCTGTCCGGCCAGTGATTCAGAAACCCTCCCTCTGTGGCCACACCATCCCCACCGGTGGCTAGAAGCCTCCAGTGGCCTCCCTGCACCAGCCTGCCCAGTTTCCACAGCGTGGGAAACTGGTCTCAAACATCTCTGAACCTGACCTCCCTGGCCTAGCCAGCCCCTCCCTCACTGGGCTTATTGGACCCCTCACACCCCAGCCATGTTCCATTTCCTACTCTCCTACTCGACAGCTAGCCAAGCTGCAGCGCTCGCCATCCACACACTGACCTGCAGTAGCCCCCAGCCTCTGCCATGCTGTTCCTTCCTCCAAGAGCACCCACCCCCCAGCCTCTGCCCAGCACCATCCAGCCCATGGGCTAGGAACAAGACAATGTCTGTGTTCTTTCCAGTTTCACTAAGTCAGGTGTCTGCAAACTGTAGCCTGTGGGCTGAATTGGACCTTCCACTTGTCTTTGTAAAGAAAGCTTTATTGAAACACTGCCACACCAGATTTTTCTAGCTGGACCTTGCAAGAAAGTTTGCCACCCATGTCTCAACTATCAAAAATGATGATATATGACTTTTTGTAATAAGAAATAAGTATCCTTTGAAGACTCCCATCCATCTTGTAAGGCTGGTCTAGGAAGCTCCCTTCACTCCTCACTCTCCCTCCTGATATCCAGTTGCTCCCTAAGTGGCACACAGTCCACCTTATATCACCTACGTGGTATAAGCTCCATAAACCCAGCAGCAGGTGGGGTATGCCTTAATTCCCCTGGGCCCACTGAGGCCCAACCTCTGGGACCACTGCTGCCTCCTGCTGCCTTTCACCCAGACCCAGCCCAGACCCTAGGAGTACAGGGGCATGGTCCAGTGCCAGCCTGAAGCCCTGCAAGCCCTGGCATGAGGGGAGACACACTACCTGCAGCTGAGAAGCCAGTTCCTCTGCGTCATCAAAGACCAGGCCATTTTCCTCATGTTTCACAAGCTCGTGTAAGCTGCAGAGAGAGTCAAGGGAGGCCTAAGCTGCCTGGAGAAGACACCAGAACTCCATGGTGCCCACCCAGCCCCCCACGCTACCACTCCCCACCCACAGGCTAAGCTAGGGGTCAGGAACCAGTCAGTCTGGTTCCCATGAATCTGGTCTTAGTTTTGATATCTGAATAGAAAACAGACCTGGGAAGGTACATATCAAAAATTCAAATCAATGGGGGGGGATGGGGCAACGAACAGGGACCTGAGCCTTTTCTGCTCTATACTCTGCAGTGAGAACACACTCAGTGGGTTCTGCTTGTTTTTTAACCAGACGGCAAAGTAACAAGGTAAAAGGCAACCCCATTGGAGGTAGGCTCGGCACATTACGGGTGACTTTTCTGGGTAACCCCAGAGTGCAGCGCTCAGCTCACTCATGGGTCTAACATCCCGATTTCCGTCCAGAGGCTGGCTCCTGAGTCCATGGGAGAGCCATTTCTAGAGCCTCTTCTCACACTGTCCTCTCCAAACCCCCATCTTTGCCAAGAAGAGCGGAGACAGAATTACACTCATTTGACTAATTTGAATAAAAGTAAATGAGCTCAGACAAATAGGGAAGAGAAATAAAATCATGTAAATTGTGCAGGCGGTTCCAGCCACCACTTTATCCTTTGAGCACAAGCTCCGTTGAGTACTGAGGACAGGTAGTTCTCCTTCAACATGAGCTCTAAGTGGAGCCAACTCCTGCAATAGGCCTCAGCCCATCCGAGGACTCCCACTCCCCGGGGCCACTGGGCTGAGCTGCACAGATCGGGAGGTGGAGCCTTTCTCTGGGGCAGCTCTGACCACAGCGGTTCCCTCAGCTGCTGATCTGAGAACCTAAGTCCCAGAAGATTCAGTGTCCGCTCCTACCACCGGAAGTTCACAGCACACACGGGCAGGCAGCATCCAAACATGTCCACCACCTTCATGGGCAGGTCCAGGCCGCTGGAGGACTTGTGCAGGCAGACGCCCAGGTCCGCTGACCCTGCAGGGGGAGGGGCCATCAGAGCACTGGCCATGCTTCCTTTGACCACACATGCTGCAAGGACTGTGGATCGACACCTCTGGAGGGGAGTGGGACGTGGGAAACACTCCCAACCCCACACAGAACTGGCTGGAGCCGGCCAAGCATCCTGGTGCAGGGTGGGGACACAGCAGTGTCCAATCCTGGCCACTCAGCCCTATCTGAACACTGCCTATCACTAACATTTCAACTTAAAAAGACTCCCTTTTCCTACTTAACCACCATTTATTTTAAAAAGAACCCACAGCAATTATGCTGAATGGGTTCAGAGTGTCTTCTTGGGGTGATGAGGCTGTTTTGGAAACAGACAGTGGTGATGACTGCACAACACTGTGGACATAACTCATGCCTCTGAGTTGCGTGTACATGTAAAACGGGAAAATGTTTCAAATGGCAAACTTTGCTATATATATTTTATCATAATAATTGGAAAAATTTTGAACCCACAGGGGACTCAACAGAAAACCAGCTGTCGCTGTGAAAATAAAGCCAAATAAACAAGCTCACATCACTAAGTTCTGGCTGGAAATGCCTGCCCACATAGGCGCTCTGCCTGGGCTGTCACTGGCTGCCGGAAGATGAGTCTTGGAGACGCATCAGTACCAACTCTGCCCTCCCCCGAGTAATGAAGAAGGGAAGAGAAGGGGAGGGCATTCTCGAAGGGAAAGTCAATACTGCCTAACCTTCATCTCTTCACTGCCCTCCAGCTCTTGGGGAACAATGAGCCCCAACCCAAGCCAGCTCAGCCCTCTCACCTAGACTGAAGAGCAGGACTGAATTGAGGGCGTGGAGGCTAAGAGGACATAAACCTCTTACAATCCCTGGCAAACAGCACCTGAGCCCACGAAACAGGAAGGAGTTGGCACACCAGGAAACAGCCTTCCTTCCTGGAGTACAGTCAACAGCTCCTCTGACAGGTTCCTGGCAAGCAGCATCTCTGTCCCAGGTGGCCCCTGGAGAAGGCCCACGGCGAGGCCCAACCCAGCCTGAGGCCGATGTGTGTAAAGGCCCTTGAGCTGAGAATGTCTTTTAATTTTTAAAGGGTTGCAAATACAAATGTGCAACAGAGGCCAGTAAAATATTTACAATCTTGTCATTTTTAGAAAAAGTCTGTCCTCCAGCCCTAAAGGATTCCTTTAAACCTCAGCCCTGCTCCTCTCCCCACCTCCCTCAGATCTCCAGCCAGGCGTCCTTACCTAGGAGCAGGGGGTAATCCTCAGCCTCCAGCCATGGGGTACAGACCTGGATGTGCTGGAGCTGCTTCTGGATAATGAGGTGGCTGTAATGCTCCTTCAGAGGCCCTTTGCCTGGCAGAGAAAATCGGAGTTACTGCTCTGGCCCACCTCTGGCTCCACCCATGGCCCAGCCCTGAGAAGCCCCTGCCAAGGTGTGAGCAGGAAGCCGACACTCCCCAGCTCCAATCAAACTCCCATGGTCCCTTCCAGAAACAACTCTCCAGGGGTGTGCACCCTGACCACTGAGGCCATGGCAACCTGCGCCCAGCAGACTGTAAGTGTGGCCAGGATAAACTCTGGCCTGGCGCCAGAGGGCCAATTAGACACCGATTCTCACATGGACGCTCTGTGCCTCGCCAGGAGTCCCGGGTGGTGGGAAGGCATGTGCAGTGGGCTCCTGCAACCCTGGGCCGGCCAGGAGGAGGGGAGTGCACACGGTGTGACACCTGGCCCAGGACCCTCCTCCTCTGACCACAGCTCTGCTTCTCTTCCCACTGGGCTACTTTGGAAGCAATTTTATGTCAGACAGTGGCCTCTTTAAAAAAAGAAAGAAAAAAAAATAAACACCAGGCTCCATGCCCTGCTGTGAGGCCCCGTTTCCCCCACTAGCAAATAGGTGTAGAAAAACCTACGTCAGAGAGCTGCCGTGCGGATTAAGGGAACAAGGAGCATTACGTGCCTGACGTAGGAAAGGCACACCAGAAAGGTAGATCCCCCTCCTTGCCCCCAAGCCAAATACAGGAACATGGAGGGTCCCAGGCAGTACCTGTTATCACACAGACCAAAGAAGGCAAGCTTTCTCCATTCAGGATCAGCTGTTCAAACTCTGTGTTCAAGAAAATACGTCATGATGACAGGATCATCTACTCAGGTGAGGGACGGGTCGGGGAGGGGAATGCGGAGGGACAATTCCAGACACGGGGTCACTCTCCCAGAGATGGCACTTCAGTTCTGGGCCTGGTCACTCCATGACCCAAATGGGGACTCAGAGCCACCACCTCCACCACCCAAGTGCCCAGGCTGCCCACCCTGCAGCCCTGGGGGGGAGGGACACTCTGCAGAGGACACCACGCAAGGCTCAGTGAGCACCTCACAGCTCAACAGCCCTGACAAGCCCAGCTCCTGATCACAGCCACACACCTACTTTCTAACGCTGCCAGCAGGATGGAGAAGTCTTCATCCTCTACAAGAAGAGAGAGACAGTATCACACTGGTTTCTAAATGTTTCCCCTGGCCCCCATCCCACCCAGCTCAATGCCCTTCCCTTTCTCATCAGGGCCTCAGGGCACCCCAAATATATGTGAAGGGGAGGGGGGGCACAGGCCTGGCAGAAAGAAGAATGCCAGCTCAGACAGGTGCTCGCACAAGACCCCAAGTGCGCAGGGGGATCCTGAGACCTGTCCAGCTCGTGCTGCTGACCAACAGGGCCGGCCGCCCACGAAGACGTGTCACCATCCCGCTGTTAGCATCCCGCTCTGTGAAGGCCGACCTCTCCGTGGCTGGGTCCAAGGGATCTGAGCTGAAGGAGCAGGGACAGAGCCTGTAAGATGCCACAGAGCAGGCCCACAGGACCCAAGATGGCCATCTCCCACCAGAGCAAGGCCCAGAAGCTCCCGAAGGTCAGGGTATGGCCATGTCAGACACATTGAGCCAACCCTACAGCCCTGGGCCGGGCACAGACATGGGCCTTGCTTTCTGTATCAATATTGACTTGTTGCTAGGTGCTGAGGTCACAACAGCAGGCAAGACTGACTCAGCCCCAGCCTTCACCAGCTTCCTGTTCTTAGCATTCCCTCACTTAGGATGAAGATGCTGAGACCTCCCACCTGGCTCCCGGGTTACTGAAAGGAGCGAACAACTGGTGTGTGAACTGCTGCTCAAAGGGCCTTTCCTGAGCCCTGGGAGACACCCCACAGACCACACAGGTCCACAGACGCCGCCATGGGGTCAGAAACCTGCAGTCAGGAGGGTAAGATGCCCACAGCCTTGAGCAGGACGAACATTTCCTTAAATGGCCAGAGAATAAACACTTCAAGCTTTTATTTGATCTCTTTTGTAACAGCTCCACTGTTGTAGTGTGAAAGCAGCCGTGGACAATGCATAAATAAACGAATGTGCTGCATTCTAATAAAACTTTTTTATGAACAGGTAGTGGGCCTGGAGCCATAGTTAGCCACCCAAGTCTGCAGCAAAGCGACGGGGGAGAAGCCAGGACAGAAGTGAACACAAGAGAAGATGGAAGACAGGAGACCTACCTGGCCCCGAGTGCAGAGTAGGTGCGGCCCAGCTTCATAAAGAGACGGTGTTGCAGGTCCAAGGGCGTCTCTTTAAAGAAAGATGCTGGCTTGTCGTAGACAGTCACAGCTCTGCAAAGAGATCAGTGGGAGGTTCTAGGAGTGGAGAGGGGCCTAAAGAATCGAAGACCCAGGAGGATCTGGAAAAAAGAAGGGCCCTTGGGGGAATCTAAGTCTCAGACAATGACAATACCAAGCTATGATTACTCGGGTAATCAGAAAGAGAAGTTCTAACAAAACTGCCTGGACCAGTCCAGCTGGTGTGGCTCAGTGATTGAGCATCCACCTATGAACCAGAGGTCACAGTTTGATTCCCAGAATATGCCTGGGTCGCTTGATCCCCAGTTGGGAACATGCAGGAGGCAGCCAATCAATGATTCTCTCTCATCACTGATGTTTCTATCTCTCTCTCCCTCTTCTTCTCTCTCTGAAATCAATCAACATATATATATTTAAAAACTGCCTGGGCTATCTGGCTGGCTGGGAAAGAAACTCCAACCTTCTCCTCCCTCACTCCTCCTCCCCCAGCTTCACAAGACAATAACCATCTCTCAGGCCCCTGGATATTTCCAGATGCCTTGCCACCATGACACAGCAGGCACTGCCGCTGGGACCAACTGAGCTGGGGCCCCTTGCCCCACCCGAGGTCCCTACTTGATGCCCCAGTTCTCTGCCAGGTCTTCCCGCATCTCACTGGTCACACACAGGTTCAGGTGGGAGAGGCGGCCGAAAAGCTTCTCGTACCTGGAAAGACACAGGGTTGCTCAGCCCGGAGGCCTGGCCAGGCCCCACGGCCATAACCACCATGTGACTGGAAACTTTCCCGTACAGAAGAGGCTGCAGAGCTGGGGTCTCCAAAATCGGGTCTCTGGCAAGGTAACTTCCCGGGATTTGTACTGAGTTCCACCTTTGCTATTATTTCCTTCACATCTTTCTTTACATCGTACCGCTTTTCAGCCTAAACACAATTACTTTCAAAGAAAACAATATATGCCACCGAAGGGAAAACCCAGTCTCTCTTGCCGTAAGAAGAAATACAATAAAGCCCCCGTTATTAAATTTTAGCTACCTTGCACTGTTCCCTATAAAGGCTGCGGGGCTGAGGATGCTCTCCATGTATTACAGAGGAGTTTAGCAAATGATAGAGAGGCGTTAACAACATATTTGCTCCAAATGGAGGCTTGCAACCTGATGATAGGGCAGAACCGAAAGAGAACCAGAAAGGGGGAATGAGACTCAGGTGCTGTTGGTCTATCAGGGCTTGTTGCCAACTCAGGATGCAAAGAGCTCTGGAATTGGACAGCCTGGGCCTGAATTTTGGTCCACACACTTGTTAGCTGTGAGACAAGAGACATAATGATTCTCGGCCTTGATTTCCCAGCCTGTAAAAGGGGTTCAGTGTACACTGAATGGGATAAAGGACTGGGACTGAGCCTGGCATGCAGCAAAAGCTCAATAATTACTGCTGCCACCGCTGCTGTTACCACCATCAAAGAATTATCCATCAGGGGAGGCTGTAAGTCCCCACTGAGGCAGGAGTTGTACACTGCGGCTCAGAACAGACCAATTCTTCCTGCCCCTGGTCAAACTGCTACCACAGGCCCTTCTTCCCTCTCATCAGCTGCAGCAAACCGTGGCCTGTGTCTCTTCCAGCAAAAGCCTGTTTTTATTTGGGAATCTGGTCTTGGCATACCTAGGAACCAAGCTCTCCCAGAAGCACCTGTGCCAAGCCTGAGGCACTGAAGTGCTACGGCTCCTGGCCTCTGTGGGAGGACACAGGATGGCAGGTGCCAATCAGAGGCTCACTCTCTGCAGAGCCTGACAGGGTGAGGCTGACAGCAACGGGAGCTCCCAGAACCTGAGAAATACCTCCCAGAGGGAGTGTGGAAAGAGAGATGAAAGGGGTCCTTGATAACACCCTTTTGGAGTTCAAGTCAGCCATTTCTCTGGACTTTTCTGTTTCGTAAGCCATCAGATGCTGTCCTTTGCTTGGGCCTGTTTCCATCACTTTTAACCAGCATCCACCCAATTATAGGGAAGCAGCTTCACTGAGTCTCCGCCCTTCTTCCTACCACAATTTAGGGAAGGTATCTGCACCATCCTTCCAGACCCTTACCACTTGGCCAGCAGAACGACCCAGTGTCTGGGGCCATGTACCAGACCCATAATGGAGTAGCCATAGTTGTGCCAGTCGATGACGAGCTTGGGCCCACAGAGGCAGGCCGCAAACCAGCAGACAGCAATGGCAGGCAGGCCAGGGGGGTTCTGGGAAAAAGGGAGACTTGGATGAAGATGAGGAAAGAAGACTATCATAGACAATAAACTGCGTGCAACATACATGATCGATACCCAGAAGTCCCTCTTTTTCACTAAAAAATGTATAAAAAGTCATAAAAGAAACAAACTGACCAACCTGAAAAGTCCAAGGTCATGGAATCAAGGAGGTGCATTTAGTTAAATGGAAATTGTGTTGGGGAAAGGCATCCCCTTTGGGAGAGGGGACAAATTGGCCCTGCCCTACTCTAGGTCTATCCAGTAGCACATCACACATTTTAAAGTGCATCAGTTTTGACCAAGCACTTCCACTCCTATGAATTTATCCCAAGAAAGAGATCAGACTCGTGTAAAAATATATATATTCACTGATACTCTTTTACCATAAAATAAGACTAAATAAATAATCAGGGTACATCAGCCAAGTAAATGAAGGTACTTCTACCCAGCTGGTATGGCTCTGTGATTGAGTGTCGACCTGTGCACCAGGAGGTCACCGGTTCGATTCCTGGTCTGGGTACATGCTTAGGTTGTGGGCTCAATTCTCAGCAGGGGGGCATATAGGAAGCAGCTGATCAATGTTGATGTTTCTCTCTCATTGGTGTTTCTATCCCTTTTGCTCCCTTCCTTTCTCTCTAAAATCAGTTTAAAAAAAATTTTTTTTTAATAAATCAAAAAGGTGTTTCTATATGTTAAAAAGTGAAGGGAAGAGGTTAAGAGCATAACTCCGGAGTCAGACTGACTACCTAGTTCAAATTCTGCCTCCAGCCCTAGTTGGTCTGGTTCAATGGATAGAGCATCGGCCCACAGTCTGAAGGGTCACAGGTTCAATTCCACTCAAGGGCACATACTTTGGATGCAGGTTTGATCCCCAGCCCCGGGTCAGGGCCCATGTGGGAGGCAACCAATTGCTGTTTTTCTCTCTCTTTCTCTGTCTCTCCCCCTCTCTTCCACTCTCTCCAAAACTCAATAGAAAAAATACCCTTGGGTGAAGATTGACAAAACAAAAAATTCTGCCTCCAGCACCTCCTAGCTGTGTAACAATGGGCTACTTATTGAACTTCTCGGGATGTAGGTCTCCTCAACTCTTAGGATTATTGTCAGAGATTAAATGAGTTAATACATGTAAAACATTTAGATGTGTAATAAGTACAATATTAGACTTTTGTGTAATGACATAGAAAAATAAACTGGATGGGCACCATAAATAGAATAGCCACATACTCTATTCTCCTACTCAAATTCTTAAAAGTTTATGCACACAGATGTGCAATTTATTTACCAACCTATGCATTTTTTAAAATATATTTTATTGATTTTTTACAGAGAGGGAGAGGGATAGAGGGTAAAAACATCAATGAGAGAGAAACATTGATCAGCTGCCTCCTGCCCACCCCTCACTGGGGATGTGCCTGCAACCAATGTACATGCCCTTGACCAGAATCGAACCTAGGACCCTTCAGTCCACAGGCCGACGCTCTATCCACTGAGCCAAACCGGTTAGGGCAACCAATGCATTTTTAAAGACTGGAAAGTAAGGAGAACTGTTAACAGTGATTCTCACAGAAAGAAGCAGGGCTGACATATACCTGGAGAAAGATGTAGGCTGCTGGCTCACAGCACATCAACTTCCACAGCAAGTGCACCGCCTGAAATACAACTTTGACTCCATACTGAAGAATGTGTGGCCCAACTGCAAGTCAGAAAACAGCTGTCACTGCCATGGGAGTTCTTGGCAATTACAGACACCACCACCCCGCCAGAGCGCCCTTCTCCCCCCCGCACACAGACACACACACACAAACGGAGTCAGAGAAATCCGGAGTGGGCTGCACCCTACCTGCAAGTCTCTGAAGTTCTGTCAAAGGCACAATCCGAATCCTGTCACTCTGCAAGAGCTCATCGTGGGGTTTGGAGTCTGAAAAGAATGTTCCCTTTAATGAACCAGACAGGGCAATCAAATTTAAAGTCAGATGATCTGCCAACTCAGGCAAAATAGCAGAGAGTATTTTGGAAAGGAGGACTTTTCCAAACAGTTCTCTGCTCCTCAATTGCCAGAACAAAGAATGAGGCCAATTCTTGTCCAGATTCCACTGGACTGCCCAGAGAGGAGGGGCCCCGAATCTTATTCACCTTTAGGTAACACAATACTTGGCACACAGTACCCCTCAAACTGATATAGATTCCCTGGATGGTGGAATTATCCCATCACAGGAAGACCCCTATGAAGTCCCACTCCAGCCCCTCACCCTCAGAGAGCAGACTCTAAACAGAGACCAAAAGCAACCAGTGCTCTTATTGCTGCTTTGCACTGATATAGAATGAGCTGCCCTTTAAAGATGTTAACATGGAGGAGGATGGAGGAACAGACACACGTGACGCTGCACATTGAGGGGAAAAGTGGACATGCTGTGCAAATGAAAAACATTTGTCTGCAGAGCTCTGCAAAGAGGAATGCAGAGGAGACAAGCTGCCTGTCTCCTCGGACGCAGCCTGACAAGAGTAGCCGCAGAGATGTGGTTACCAATAATGGCCCTGGTGTCACACGCACCTAGGTCCCAGTCCGTCTTTCCACTTACAAGGAGGATTAAGTGAGAATTGTGCAATGAATTCATTAGCTTAGCACTGCCCTGGTATACGGCAGGCGCTCGTTTACAGCTTGTTTAGACTGTTCATGCAGACCCACCCAGCAGAGCCTGAGCAGAAACCTGGCAACAACTGTCCAGGACGACAGTGGGCTCGTCCATCTCGGGGAGCTGCCCAAGGGAGGAGAGAGAGAAGGAGCATCCTCGCTCCGGCCCCTTTGAGATGATCAAGCTGAGAGAGCTGCCTCCTTCCCAGATCCCCGGCACTCACTGCAGAACCCCAGGAGGGTCACGGAGAAGCCACACTTGGCCAATGACTGCGCGTGGTACTGCATTCGGGGGCTGCGGCCCACGTCGCCCAGCACCACGACGATGGCGTGCCCGGCCGAGCGCCCCCGCCGCCAGCGCGTCCACGCGATCAGCAGCAGCAGCAGCAGCGGCAACGATAGGGACAGCGCTAGCACAGCCACGCTGGAGGCAGCCATCTTGGCCGGCTGGCCGCAGTCACGTGACCGCGCTCCCCTGGCGTGCAGTGCGCAGCCGTATAGCGAGCCCCCGAGGTGGGCGGGGAGAAGGCCGGGGAGGGCGTGGTTTCCTAAGGGGCGGCCCGCAGAGCCCGCGGAGAGTCCCTGAGATCCAAGAATTAGTTGAATGAAGGTCTAGTTTTTAGCACGTTTTATTTCAAAAGTTGGAAGACAATTCGGATGACTCTCTAAACATAATATTGATAAAAGAGGCCGGACGCCAAAAAGTAAATGCTGACTGGTTCCATTTATATACAATGAGAATTCATCTTTCTTCTTTCTGGCTTTCAGTCAGACCCGCCGGAGATTCTTCTGAAAGTAACATCATGATGATTACCCAGGGAGAACCCCAGGTTCAGTTCTAGCTTGTGTTGGTTGGCGATGATGGGACTGGGAATACTCCATTGGTGAAACTCGTCTGGTGAGTTTGAGATGGAGCCACCTTGGGTGTTGAAGTCCATCCCCTCCTGTTTCACACCAAAAGAGGGCACAATAAGTTCCATGTGTGGGGTACACGGGGCCAGGAGAAGTTCAGCGGACCGAGACAACTATTACATCCAAGCCCAGGGTGTAGTTATAATGTCTGATATAACTTCGAGAGGTACTTAAAAGAAGTTGCCTACCTGGCATAGAGATCTGGTACAAGTGTGTGTGAAAACATCCCTATCCTGTTGTGTGGCTACAAAGTGGCTATTAAGCCCTGGAAAGTTAAGGCAAAATCAGTTGTATTCCACCAAAAGAAGAACTTCTGTGCTATATTTCTGCTCAAAGTATTAATAACTACCCCTGTATCCCTGAAAATAAGACAGTGTCTTATATTAATTTTTTCTCCCAAAGTTGCGCTAGGTCTTATTTTCAGGGGATGTCTTATCTTTCCATGCGCTAGGTCTTATTTTCGGAGAATGTCTTATTTTCGGGGAAACATGGTAACACTTTGAAAAGCCCTTCCCCTGGCTTGCTAGAAAACTAATTGGAGAATCTAACTGGAAGTTTGCCACCATGCCTGCTCTTGCCCCAACATAGGTTGTCCGGGACCCAGTGCTAGCAGCACATTATGAGCATGACCCGGAGGATGCCCAGACCACTGATCTCCGGATGAGGATGATGACCTGGGAGGAAGGGAAGCTGGAGCCCAATGTCAGGATTCTAGTTTTATAGTCACCTGTCCTGTGATGTCAGTGTTCGCCGCCTTTATGATGGAGCTAAGCGGAGCCTGTGCTTGACCTTTAGGATGCTGAAGGAAATAAATGGGCTTCAGAGTGAATGTGGCAGTTAAAAAATACCTTCAGCCGAAGCCGGTGTGGCTCAGTGAATAGAGCGTCGGCCTGCAGACTGCAGGGTCCCGGGTTCGATTCCAGTCAAGGGCATGTACCTTGGTTGCGGGCACATCCCCAGGTCGGGGGTATGCAGGAGGCAGCTGATGGATGTTTCTCTCTCATTGATGTTTCTAACTCTCTATCCCTCTCACTTCCTCTCTGTAAAAAATCAATAAAATATATATTTTTAAATACCTTCATTTTTTTGAACCTGCACATTTAGCTGTTGGAATCAGTTGTTTCCTTTTTAAGCTTCAAATATAAAAGTGCTGCAGTCACATCACAATATTCAGTGGCAAAGCCTTATATATTACTGTCATTCCCATTCCTTTTTGTTTAGAATCAGAATTAAGTTGTATTTCAAGTTATCTAAAAAATAAAAAAAATAAAAATTAGCCGGGACAGGTTTGGCTCAGTGGATAGTGCGTCGGCCTGCGGACTGAAAGGTCCCGGGTTCGATTCCGGGCAAGGGCATGTACCTGGTTGCGGGCACATCCCCAGTAGGGGGTGTGCAAGAGGCAGCTGATCGATGATTCTCTCTCATCGATGTTTCTAACTCTCTATCCCTCTCTCTTCCTCTCTGTAAATAAATCAATAAAATATATTTTTAAAAAATTAAAATAAAAAAAAATCTTTGCTGTCAGAAGTCAGGGGAATGACCTCTTTGGAGAGTCAGGAAGTGCGTGGGAAGGGGTCAATGGGAAGGTGCGGTGTGGGGCAATAATGTTCTGTTTCTTGGTCTGGGTGCTCCTAAGATAGTGTGTTCCACTTGGGAAAATTCATCCAACATCACACTTATTCATTTTTCAGGATATGTGTTGTACTTGAATAAAACATTTAAAATATAAAGAGAAATGGAAGAGGAAAAGGACAAAGAAGAAAGTAAAAGCCATAATGATTTTAAGTATCCATAGTATTGAGGGAAAATTCTTCCCCCCCCCCCCCCGACTCTCCAAAGTCACCACCAAAGTAGTCACACTGTAGAGCTTAGTGTGTGTCCACGTGACAGCTTTTTGACTTTGAAAAGGGTCCCCTCACAGAGGAACTTCGAGAACATTCACAAGTGTATCCATGGGGTGGATTTCAAGAAGCATGGCCCTCAGACACTCAAAGAGATCGGGAAATCTGCCGTGAAGGAGATGGGAGCTCCAGAAGTGCACATTGACACCGGTCTCAACAAAGCTGTCTGGGCTAAAGGAACAAGGAATGTCCCATTCCATATCCCATGTGGTTGTCCACAGCACGTAATGAGGATGCAGATTGACCACACAAGTTCTTCTCATTGGTTACCTACATACCTGTCACCACTTCCATAAAGCTGCAAGCAGTTAATGTGGATGAAAACTAACTACTGATTATCAAATAAGGTTACAAAACTGCCCCCCAAAAAGAAAACGTGCCACATGAAAGAAGTCATATACAATGTGTGACACAAAAGGTCACACATTGTATAATTGTTTTATGAAATGTCCAGAATAGGCTAACTTATAGAAATGGAAAATAGATCAGTGATCTCCAGGGGGTGGAGGGCTGAGGGGGTGGAAGGAGTGGAAAGTGACTGCTAATGGGTATGGGGCTTCCTTTTGGGTGATGAAAATATTCAAGAATAAGACAGTGGATAGAGCTCAGTGGATAGAGCATCGGCCTGGGGACTGAAGGGTCCCAGGTCCTATTCTGGTCAGGGGCCCATGCCTGGTTGCAGGCTCCATTCCCAGTAGGGGGCGTACAGCAGGCGACCAATTGATGATTCCCTCTCATTGATGTTTCTGTCTCTCCCTTCCTATCTGAAATTAATTTAAAAATGTTAAAAAATTAAAAAATTAAAAAAAAACCAGTAGTGGTGGTTGCACAGCTTTGTGAACAGACTTTAAAAGAGACTGCCTAGCCCTGACCTGCTTGGCTCAGTGGATAGAGCATCGGCCTATGGACTCAAAGGTACCAGGTTTGATTCTGATCAAGGGCATGGACCTTGGTTGTGGGCACATGTCCAGTAGGGAGTGTACAGAAGGCGGCTGATCGATATTTCTAGCTCTCTATCCTCCCTTCCTCTGTAAAAACTCAATAAATATATATTTAAATAAAAGAGAGACTGCCTACATTTGATGTTATATGAATTATATCTCAATAAATCTGTTATTCTTTTTTTTTTTTCAGAGAGGAAGACAAACAGAGAGACATAGAAACATCAATGATCAGCCGCCCCCTGTACACCCCTCTTTCTGGGGTGGAGCCCACAACCTGGACATGCACCCTGACTGGGTATCATATTGTCACTCAACCACTGAGCCACACCAGCAGGGCAAATCTGTTATCTATAATAATAAAAGTATAATATGCAAATCAACTGAACAGCAGAACCACCGTCTGGAGGACCTTCCAGACGAAGCCGGGGCTGCAAAGGCCTACTCATGCATGAATTTCGTGCATCAGGCCTCTAGTTCTTAAATGTTCGGGGGAAATGTCTAAAAAGCCAGGAGTCAGAGATGTGGGGAAAGGCAAGAATGAAATTAAAAGATTGAGAAACCCTGACCTGTGAGCAAGCTCTAGCCCTCAGGAGTATCAGATGTACTTTTGTGTGGTGGTATTTTTATTATGTTTACAGATCTGTAGTCTCTTAATGGAAGCCTTGGATCCAGATATGCTTCTAAAATCAAATTTTTTTTAGTTTTGGAAAGGTAATATGACGTGCATACACGTGACAGTCGGGCAAGGTTTGGGGATAGCATGGAATTGAAATTTCCTCAGGGAAACACCTTCTTTCACACTGAGTGAGCTACCTGCGGGCTCTACCTCCTCGCTTCCTCACCGTCCAGTACAGAAGCACATGGGGCTATTGGCTCTTGAAATGTGGCTAGCCGAGTCGACGTGTGCCCTGAATATGAACACTCTTCCAGATTTCAAAGACTTCATACAAGAAAAATATTTTAAAAAGAAGGTAGCCCTGGCTGGTTGCTCAGTAGTTAGAGCATCATCCCACAGTTTCAAGGGTTGCAGGTTCGATTTCCAGTCAAGAGCATGTACTTTGGTTGTGGGTTTGCTCCCCACCCTCTGTTGGCGCACATTCGAGAGGCAACCAGTCGATGTGTCTCTCTCACATCAATGTTGTTGTTCTTTTTCTCTCTCTCTCTTTCTTCCTCTCCTCTCTCCTTCCTACTCTCTCTAAAAAAATCAATAGAAAAAATATCCTTGGGTGAGGATTTAAAAAAATCCCTGACATGGAGTTCATCATCGTCCACACAATTCTTTAAAAAAAAAAAGTAAAATTTAATCATTTTTATATTGATTAAGTTGAAAAGGTAATATTTTAGAACCACTGGATTAAATAAATAGGTTGTTAAAATTCATTTCACCTGCTCAGCTTTTTTTTTTTTTTAATGTGGCTACTAAAAAATGTGTAAGTGACCATGTGGCTTGTCTTCGTGGCTTGTATTCTGTTTCTATCAGACAGGTGCCCTTCCAAGGAATCCTGGGTCAGTTTGGGGCAGGTGTACCCTCAGATGAGTTTATTCCAAATGTATTTTTTAAAATGACAGCTTTGCATTTCAGTGTTTGGGGTTTCTGCCCTGTAACGGCAGTTGCTAGATCAAACATATGGCTTGTGGGCCTGGAGTCTCCGGTGAGAGTGAAAGGGTGGGAGCTCCTCTCCCCAGCCTTTGGCCAGTTTGCTCTACACCCAGTCCTGGCCTCACTGATGTGCCCCCAGAGCCCTCTGCCCAGGCCACCCCAGCTGCTGGGTCAGCCCTGCCCAGCCACTTGTCTGCAGCTCTGCATCAGGAGAAGGGGGAGGAGGCAGGAAGAGGGCGTGGGGGCAGGCTGGCCTGGGCTGAAGCACTCCACAAGCCTCAAGCAGAAGCCAGCCATGTCCAGCCTGGGACTCCTGCTCCTGCTCCTGCTTCTGGCAGGGCCGCTGACACCCTCCTCGTTGCCACCGCCGGACACCCCAGAGGGCAAGGCCACCATTGCCAGCCTCATCCTCTCGGCACTGGAGAGAGCCACCTTCTTCTTAGAGAAGAGGCTGCCAGACATCAACCTGGACAGCGTGGTGGGGTTCCGGGTGCTGGAAGGTGGGTGTGCTCTCGTTCCCCTGGACTGGCCGCCAGGAAAACCAGTTCTCAGCCTGTCACCTGCCTGCTCTGTGCCCTGGCTTAGTAACTAGAAAAGAGGACTTGCTTCTTTGGGGTGTCCGGGGGCCCTTCTGTTATCAGATATTTTATTTTATTTTTTTAAATATATTTTATTGATTTTTTACAGAGAGGAAGGGAGAGAGGTAGAGAGCTAGAAATGTCGATGAGAGAGAAACATCGACCAGCTGCCTCTTGCACACCCCCTACCGGGGATGTGCCCCACAACCCAGGTACATGCCC